GTTGTAATTCTTTTCAATTAAGGTTAGTTTGTCGTAAACAATATTTATCATAAATAATAAATTAATAAAATTGATGAATTACATAAACACACTCTACAATCGTACCGAGATGTTTAGGAAATTATGTTTAAATGAATTATTTTAAATAAAAACATAACTGTTATAACAAAATTAACAGAAAAATGTGCAAAATAAATAGTTTATACTAAAAGTAAATAATAAGTAATTCCCATACAATGTTTAATGCATTTCTATGAAATTATATTTAATTATTAGGCAAATATCTTCGGATCTGTTGATATGTAATGAATTTCAATAAAAATGGGAAATATTTATATTAAACTTAATACAGAATCACTTATGATATAATACTTATTATATAACTATTTTATAAAGTGTATTAAAATTAATTTGTAATATACTCACTAAGAATAGTGTATTTATTGAATAGATTATTAATCGTTCTAATAATTAAAATTGCAATCAAACTGTAAATGTACAATAATTAGTATAGTTTATTTAAATAGATAAATAATTATATAATTTTTGGCCTTCACTGAAGAAAACACTATTTATGATAAGCAAAATTTGAATTAAAAAGACTGGTTTTAATTTTATTATTTATAAACTGTAATAATATAATTGAATATTAGTCTATCAATTTTATATTGTGCTATACTAGTGTTAAATTGGAAAACCACGTTAGCAGTATATATTATGTCAATCAATTTTATTATTAATTTAATTTTTTAAATTAAATATTAAATAAACCATAATTATAATATTATACTATTATATAATATAATATAAAATAGTAGACAGTATATATTATTTATTTAATTTATAAGTGAATTTATAAAAATAAAATTTAACAAAATAATTCGTAAATAATAGTAAACATTATTAAATAATTCATTTATTTATTAAACAAGTAAAAATTTAATAGTATTTACATTTTTTATTAATCACTGTAGCACAAGCAATTTAATATAAATAATAGGATTACTACTGTATAAAATTTGAAATACATAATTTAAAATATATATTAAAATTTGGTCGTATACTCTAACGAATCAAAAGCTTCATTCATATAAAAATTTTATTATTATTATCTGAATTAATGGCATTATTCGCACATTTATGGCAAAGTGTGTCATTATTATTGACATTATTTGTGGCAACAACGTTATTTATGTCTGCATCAACATTGCTTAAGTCAGTTCGTACAACGTTATTTACGGACGAATCAACCAAGGTCGGATTCAAATTAGCGTTATTTGAATTGAGCTTAAAGTTTTTCATCACTAAATCCGCCTGACGTTTAGCGGTCGGCGACTGTCCGTCGCCATTGGGCGCCAACGCTCGGGCTATCACTTTCTTAGCCTTTTTTGAGCCGGCCTTTAATAACCATGTGATGAGTCATGTAACACAAAAATAGCATTTAATTAACTAATTAATATAAATTAGTATAAGTTAATATAAATATAACTAGTATAAATAATATTAATACAATTAATTTTTTAAAATTTACCTTAAGTATATAATTCTCGATACGAGCCCTCTGTAACCTCTCTATCCGGCGCCGGACTACTGGCGTGAATAGTGTTGCGTCCAAATCAGCGATTGATGTCCGACCTATAGACGGGATATAAGGGTATGAATGAGGATTTAGTTTAAGTTTTATTAGTACCGGTGATGAGGGATATGAGATATCCGGCTATTATTGTGACCACTGTTCCGATTACACCGTAGCATTGGTACGATATCTGGTATATTAATGGTATGTCCGAACTATGTATAACGTAATGGTATTGTTTTATAGATTTTATTATTAATAATTTATTAATAAGAGAGAGAGAGAGAGAGAGAGAGAGAGAGAGAAATTGTATTTAAATATGTTAAATTAAAACTGTAATAAGAAAATGAACTAAAAATTGTGTGAAATAAAAAGTTAAGTCAATAAATGTTTAATAAGTATTTCCCATTTAATTAATGTTTAATACATTTCAATGAAATTCTATTTCAATTATAAGCAAATATCTTAATAATGTTTGGTATTCGTTGGATAAACTGAAAAATGGGAAATATTTTTTAATACAAATTGTAATAATTGTATAAGTGGCTAACCTTGGTCATCGTTTTCTAACAAATTATTCTACAATTTAACACTATTTTTAATTAAATTTTAAATAAATTAAATTATAATGATAAATTACCCAATTAAATTATAAACTAATATAATTATAAATACTTTTTGTGTAAATCCTCGTCGGATGGCTGTCCAAACAGCTCCGGGCTATACGTACTATGCGTTACGTTTTTATACAACGCCACACAACTGGCCACCGATACGGGCTTTTGCGGTATATAAGGCCTGTATATCATGGCGCCCACCCCTACCCACAACGAACAACCAATACCAATTAGAGTACCCCAAAATGCACCTTTAGGGTTGGCCGCGGGCACAAACATGCCCAGGGTAAACAAGCCAAACACTGGCGACCCTAGCAGCCCAAACAAAGTTATGGTAGCCTGTATTATATTGCCCATTTGCTGGGCCACCAGCACTAGTAATATCGAGAGTAGACCGTAGAAAACGGATACTAATTTGACGTATAGAGTGGCGGCCGAGTCGGACAGCTTGCCGTCCGGCAGTAGTGGCCGTATGTAGTCCTGTAGAGTGACCGCCGCCAGTGAGTTCACACCCGATGAGATTGTGCTAGGTACATTTAAATAGTAGCATTTCATCAATAGAAATAAACATTAATTTAGAGAGAGAGAGAGATTATTGTTTATAAAAGTTACAATAAAACTGTAAATCTATCATAATTACTATATTTTACTAGTCTAGTAAAATAATTATATATTTTTGGAGATGTTGAAACCGAATTACATTTATTGCTTATATTAAATATATTTTATAATTGTAATAATAATTTGTAATAATAACAAATTGTAATAATAAAAATCTGTATTAATTTATCTATTTTATATCGTATTTTATAAAGTTACCTTGGTTAACTATATAATGTGTAATAATTTATTACTAATAAACGATAAACTACAAAATAGTTTTTGTTGCATACCTGAGCGATCCGCTGAACACACCGGCAATAAATAAACCAACAAAACCCGGTATATCTGCGAACATCTCTATTACATACAACGGCAACAGTTGGTCCGGACGTTGGATTTGCTTAACAGACATCGGGTCGCACTGGTTATACCGGGCGAACACTATGGCCCCGGCAACTAAGCACAAAAATACGATCATGGTCTTCAGGGGCCACACGATTAACAAAGCTCTTGGTGAAATACAAAACACATTTTTATACATGATTAAAACTTCTAAATTGTAGAAATCAAGGATTATGCAAGGCATTTAATTGCCCAGCTAAAGTAATAGTAACAAGGTGATTAATAATTACATCTGGGCCTTTCTAAGGGTGGGCAGCGCTATACAGCGTTGTACCAAAGCCTGATTGGTCGAGTAGATGTTGCCCCAGTAGAACAGTTGGCCAATCAGAACTGACCAAAACGTGTGCCGCACAAACGGATCCGGATTAAAACTAGGAAATATGCAATTTGAACATGATATCAATAAGTTTACCCTGATGTTTTATATGTAATTACTTAAACATCTCGGTACGATCGTAGCGAGTATTTATGTCCCACACGGCCTGCGGTCCGCCCAAATCGTATACCCCTTTGGCAACCACTGCTATCATCATCGCAAACATAACCGCAGTTTGAAACACATCTGTGCCCACTACAGCCTTTATTCCGCCTACTGTACTGTAAAATGTACATACAATGCCCGTGGTGATTATCGTCCACCATATGCCCAGACCAGTTACTAATTTGATAAATAAATAATTAAACATGTACAAATTATTTTTGTTTTAACGGTTCAATATTAAATATAAATGCTTACAATGAGATATGGCTAATGCCGGTCCGTACAGTACAATAGACATGACAATGAGCTAATAATTGTATTATAAATTATGGTGTAGTTAGGTAATTTATTGTGGTAATATTAATAATTATTACCATGTTTAATGTGTATATGATTGAGCCTAACAGCCGAGTAGAGCGCCCAAAACGTTTCTCTAAATACTGTAAAAGTATAATAATGAGAAAGATATTAGTAAATATTAAATATCAAAATATTAAATACTGATTGTATTTTAAATAATACTGTAATTAAAATTATAAATAATTTATTTATTTTATATCTGATAATAATGATTTAAATTATTGGTTAAACTTTGAATATGTTTGTTTAATATTTTTATAAATGTTTAGTGTTTAATGTGTAACTTATATGAATAACATTATCATTTTTATTAAAAAATTACATTAATAAAATTATTAATAATTGTTTTATGTTCAATGATTCAGTATATTTAATTGCAATCCATTTGGATTATATTATAATATACAGTTAATAGTTAATATGAATAATAATATGTATAATAGTTAATATGAATTTTATTTAAATATCTATTTTACAAGGTTATTTAATTTAATAGCTGTTATTATAATAACTTTTATTATCCTAATCTATATAACCAAATTTAATTAATAAAATATTGTATTATAATGTTAAATTAATCTTACAAGCTAGTTATTATGTTAAAGTAAGCCATTAATATTGTAATATAAATTATATGTATTTAAATGATTTATTTCTAAATATTTATTTAATAGCCCTTTGATTGAAAGTGCATTAATTGATAACAGATTTCTACCACAAGTTTCCGTATATTTCTATGTCTAGTCTTATAATTATATAATATTTTTTACTGTCATTTCAATAATTACTTTTAAAGTTAATTATCTAATAAGAAATGTGTTTTGGTTTTCAATGAAATGATGATTATATGAATTGTTTGTGGATTTAGTCTGAAATAAATTGCTTTAAAGTTTTACTTTTAGTGCATTTTATTTCACGCATTATTGGCTTTTGATTAAAAAGTTGATTGTGTTTTTGTTAATAACATTTTTTAGATTTATCTTTTTGCTTTTTGTTTCGCTTGAGAGAGAGA